TTAAACAATAACCCCTCTGCTCCTGTCAAACACCACGGAAAAACTCTGACCTCATCCGCAGCAGGGAAGGCCAAATGAAGAGCCTAGATTTTCATCTTCCTAAACTGCACTAAGGTGCCCCCGTCCCACTCCCTGCCCTCCATCCCACACCAGGATGATATCAAGTAAAATTGAGTAGGAAACCTGGACTTCCTAGATGGTAGGAACACCACCCAACAGTGGGATGCACATTCTTTACAAGTTCTCACAGAGACCCAAGCCTTGTATGCACATATGAATAATAAAACAATAAAAAATTAAAAAATAAATAAAATAAACTAAAATAAAAGTTCTCACAGAACATATATCGAGATAGACCATATACTGGGCCCCCCCACCCTCCCCCCACACACACTCAAATACACTGAAACAAAAGCAAAGGTCAACAAATTGAAAACAATTGTAATTGTGCATAGCATGTTCTCTGGCCATAATGGAATTAAATTAAAAATCAGTAACAGAAAGATAAGAAGAAAATCTCAAGACACTTGGAAGTTGAACAGACGTAAACTGTTGTATCTTATGGATTGCTGTTTGATCACTAAAATAATGCCCTTATCTGTCTCTAGTAATTTTATTTGCTTGAAAGTCTACTTTATCTGTTAATTATATAGCCACTCCTACTTTCCTTTGATTAATGTTTTCATGATATATCTTATTCCATCCATAACTTATTCCCAATGAACTTATAACATTATATTTGAAGTAGACATCACTAATAGCATATGATTTTCATCTTTTATTAATCTATTCTACAAATCCCTTTATTTTAACTGATGCATTTACATCATTTATAAGCACCAGATTCTTTTCATCTAAATACTAGGAAGAACAAATGGATGTCAAAACCCACCACTCTAATTTGATGTAGTCAATGCAATAAGGCAAGAAAAGAACAAGACCCAGGACACAGAATAATAAGTAATACCATTCCTATTTACAGATGGCATGATTTTCCACATAGGAAATCTTAAGAGTATTCCCCACAAAAGTCTTGGAGCTAGTAAGTGAGTTCAACAATGTCACAGAATACAAATAAACATGCCAAAACCAAATTAGAAAGAGTATGAGAAATTACCTCACCCTTGTTAGGATGGCTATTATCAAAAAGGCAAGAGATAACAAATATTGGCAGTGTGCAAAGAAAGGGAACCCTTGTCCACTATTGGTAGGAATACAAATAGTGCAACCATTATGAAAATAGTAGGGAGACTCCTAAGGAAATTAAAAATAGAACTACAATATGACCCAGAAATTCCCCTCTTCTAGGTATACACACAAACACACAAAGAAAAAGAAGTCACAATCTCATAAAAATATCTGCACTCCTACTTTCATTGTAGCATTATTCACCATAGACAACATATAGGAACAACTTAGGTGTCCATTAATGGATGAATGAATAAAATAAAATGTGATACACACACACACACACACACACACACACACACACACACACACAGGAATATTAGACAGCCTTAGGAAAGAAGATCCTGCCATTTGCCACCTTATATTACCATACAAAATGCTGTGCTAAGTAAAATAAGCCAGACACAGAAAAATATTGCATGATATTACTTATATGTGAACTATTTTTTAAAAAGTCAAATATTCAGAGATAGAAGGTAAAACAGTGGTTACTGGTGGGAGAAGGAGGAAATGAGGACAGGTAAGTCAAATGATGTAAGGTACTAGACATAACAAGGCTGAATGAGAATAGGGATCTAATGTATAATACAACTTAAAATTGTGTTATTTAGGAATTTTTATTAAGTAAATAGATTTTAGTTGCTCTTACAATAGAAAGGTACCTAAGTGAGACAATAAATAAGTTAATTTGCTCACTAGAGTAACCATTTTATTATCTACATGTATCCTACGACATCTAATATCATGTTATAAACCTCCAATATACACAACAAATTTTATTTAAAAAACTTAATATATCATTTGTAATTACTAAACTATGAAATACTTAGATGTAAATCTAGCAAACTATGTACAGAATCTTTATGCAGAAAGTGACAAAATGCTGGTGAGAGACATCAAAGAGGATCTAAATACACAGAGAGACTATGTCCATGGATTGGAGGTCCTGACAGTAATGATATCAATTTGATATCAAGTGTATCAAGACCAAATTGATACACAGGTTTAATGCAATTTCCAGCAACATCTCAGCATGATTTTTACAGATAAAGACAAAACATTATCCTAAAATACATGCAAAGGCAAATACTAAATTTTTTAAAAAAGAATAAAACAGGAGGAATCAGTTTATTGATTTTGAGACTTATATAATAAGTAACATTACCTGTTGCTTATGAAGTGATTAATACTATATAATAGTAATCAGGATTGTGTGGAATTGGCAGAAGGATGGGAACAAGATCAATGAAACAGAACATAGAGCTTAGAGACAGACTCACACAGAACATAAAGCTTAGAGACAGACTCACACAACATGCCAGGGTGGATTTAACAATGATCAAAGTGCAGCTCCGTGGGGCAAAAATAGACATTATCTTTTAAACTAGCAGCACTGAGTATTGAACTCAAGACCTCATGCTTACTGGGCAGGCACTCTACCTCTGAGCCACTCTGCCAGCCCCTTTTGCTTTTGTTATTTTTGACATGGGATCTTGTTTTATGCCTGGGGCCAACCTGGACCACCATCCTATTTACACTCCCCACATTGCTATCATATGACTCAGTGATCAAAGTTCCTGAGCAAATTTTCCAGAGAAATGAAATTTCTGTTCATTCAAAAATCTGAGCACAATGTTTTATGGCAATTTCATTCGTAATAGCCCAAAACTGCTAATAGTTTTGACTGTTCAGTGAGTGAATGCTCAGGTAAACTTTAGCAATTTTTACCATGGAATATGTGTCAGCAGTAAAGAGGAATGAACTATTGACCTACAGAACCTCTGGAGAATTATGCCAAGTGGCAAAACCAATTCCATATATATAATCCCATTTATGTAGCATTATTAAAATGACAAAATTCTGTAACCAGAGTTTTAGGCCACAGGTCCCTCTCCAGGGGTTCCACATATCAGGTCCATCCATTTGCCCCATTACAGCAAATAAAGAGTCAAGTAGAGGTGAAGAAGGGCAGAGAAAAGAGATTAACACAGCAGGGCACGCTGCTGGAAAAGGCAAACAGAAACCTCAGCCCATCTTTGGGGTACAGATAGGAACTTTTGGTTTGCATAAAGGAAGAACTAGGGCAGGGCTGAGAGGCATGCATAATTATTAACCAGCCCCTGTCACGGGTGTGCTCAGGTGGTCAGAGATATGGTCCAGTTGCTTATTATCTCATGGCCTTGTTACAGTAAGAAGGCCATTGCTGCCTGGCAGGGGGGTAAATTCAAGCTATCTGTGGCTTCAGTATGTTAATCCATCAGTCCTGTCAAGGTGATTGCAAAGTGACTGCAAGACAGAATGGTTCAGAGCAAAGGACACAGATACAAAATGAAGACAGAAATGTCAAGTTTGCATCTTGCCTTTAGTTACTCTTTGGACATTTGCAAGTCTGAGTGAGGAGTGAGTGTTTTAACAAAAGAAGTTTCTAGGTATCTGTTATCTCTAGAGATGGAAAACAGATGAGTGAGTGCCAAGGTCTACAAAAAGGAGCATGTCAGGCAGGAGGAGTAGATGTGACTGTAAAAGGTCCCACGATGGTTTCTTGTGATGATGGAGCAGTTCTGTATTTTGATTATATCAACAGCAGTGTCCTGATTGTGGTACTGTACTATAGTTTTGTATCATGTTACCATTAGTAGAAACTGGGTGAAGAATACACCAGATCTCTGTACTGCTTCTTACAACTGTGTGGGGATCTCCAGTTATCTCAAAATAAAAGGTTTTTTATTTTTTAAAAGAAAAGAGAGAGAGAGAGAGAGATAGACAAACAGAGAGACAGAGACAGAGAAAGGCCATGCAAACAATACAAAGAAAATTCTCAAAATAGGGTCTGGTTGAGAATACTGCATGTGATCTGGGTACATCTCATGAACACAGCTCTTAGAGTTTTGTTTTGTTGCTGTTAATCCAATGTGGAAAGAAAAGGAATGAAACAATGCCAGCAAAGTCAGTTCATTCTGCTAATGTGAACTTGCCAGTCACCAGCGGGAGACCCTCCAGCAAGGGAGGGAGAGCAGCTGATAGTGGTGCCCAAAGCCCACCCACAAGAGGCCCTCCAGCTGTGTGTTGGCCTCTGATTGAACAGACAATGGAGGAAGAGCTGATAAGAACGCTGCTTTTGTGAGCCCTGTGTTCCCAGTTCCCAGAAAGGAGAGGAGAATGACATAAACACATATGGAGATGGGAAAAGACTCCCCTCCAGGCACGCATCAGGTCTATGTCCCCTAATATAGATGACAGAAGGAGCTCATCTTGTACCTTCTGCCTTGCTTTACAGGTTCATCGATACACAGATGAGACTACAGCACATTCTCAGGGAATCTCCACTCCTTTCTGCTCAGAGCACTGCAAGGAGGTGGGCAGCTCGCCCAGGGGAGGAGGCGGGCAGCTCCCCCAGGGTCTGGGCATTGTGACTCTGAGGAGTTAATGACCAGTGACGGAACCCAGTCCCTGCTTCTGGAAGGTTGACCCCAATTTCTAAGAAAATGCACATAAGGCCACTGGCAAAATCTACTTCTTCCCTCTCTCTACCCTTGACCATGCCAAGAGAGTAGGAGGTGGAACAAAGTCTAAAAACTAGGACAAGAGATAATATTGCTAATACTAAAGTCTGACTTCTGATTTCTGGCTTCAATACAGGGGAAGTGAAACAAAGATAAATCAGGTACATCACTATAGTTATTAAAATTTTCACCCAAGTGCTACCCACCCCAGACACAAAAGGAGAGAAAGTACATACCCCAGGACCCCAGAGTGCAGCCTTAGCAATCCTCTGCATACGAAAACTTTCTCTGAAGTTGAATGTTTGCATGAGACTCTGTTCGATATTTGTGTATCATTGTAAGAAGAATGATGTGCTGAATCACTCACCATCAAATACCTCATCTTTCAGAGAGGTGCCCATGTTCAATGCAGAGCTTTGGCCATAGCTGTCACATCATGCTATGGTTGAAGGTCTGAGCACTGGAACCAAACTGCCTGGATTCAGTTGTGCCTCTGCTCTTGCTAAGTGGATGACATTGGGCAAGTTCTTAATTATTCTGTGCCCAATTTTTCTTTCCTATACAATGGAAATAACAGCAGTGCTTACTTCAGAGCATTGGTGGGAAGATTAAAAGAGTTAATATGCACTGAATATTTGGAACACATACTCAATAAATAAATGTTACTATTGTTATCATTATTATTATTGTGGTTACTCTCTGGCATTCCATATGCCTCACTTGAAAAACACTGGATGACACAGGAGAGATAAATTGCCAGGTGAAAAACCTGGAAATTATCCCCATCTCAGGATAGTGAGTTTAGAGTTATAGCAGCATGTTTTTGATGGATTAGGAAGAATGTTCCAACAAAGACTTATCTTACAACCACTGTGACGAGACAGTCCAGAATCCATTCAGCTATGACACCTCTCCATGAAACTAATTAAAGATTCATGCTCTATGAAACACTGAATGATGTAAGTGTGAATACGCAGAGTTTGGGACCTGCAGTTTTGCATGTTAACACTCTCCATGATAGCACTGCCCCTTTTTATTAAGTGGATAAATACTACATCCCACAGCAGGGACACTCACCATGTCCTCCAGGGCAGCTACTTTGTTGGCTCCCTTCAGGAAGTCAGAAAGGCTGTAGAGGATGTAAGAGGGTTCACATGCTGACCTTCTGCAACAGGGTCTTAGTTGGAATGTGGTGCAATGAGAACCTTCTGATGCCTGCCCAAGTTAAACCCAGGATTTGTCACATGCATGGCAATGACATAAAACTGGTGTAGGTTGGAGCCCCAGGCTCCTCTGGAGTGCAAGACTCTAGCCAACCCTTGGAGTGAGGCCCCAGAGCTGTGTGCTGGGGGTAGCTGTTCTGGTGAGTTACCTTTTTATCAAGTAGCCTCAGAAGTCACTTTGCTGTGTGCAAGGGACAGTCGCCAGCTGTTTCTGTTTCCACTGAGAGCAGGACAGGAGGAAATAAAATGAATCCAGCAGCACAAACAGGATTTAGCTTAGATAAGTGAGCTCTCCCTGATGGTGAGGACTGTTGAACAGTCAAGGACAGCTCCATGAGGAAGTGTGGAATACTCTTTTCTAAATACCCTTGTTAAAAACCCCCACATGGATGGAGGAGAGGGCTATCTTTGAAGCAGCAATTACCTATTAGCTAGTTCCTGACTTTCTGAAATGTCAGTGGACAATGAGAGACCCTCCAAGCTAAAACACGTTCTACATTCTAACATAATCTCCATTAATGGCCTTAAAAGTCAAAATGTAAACATTGCCAAATGGCACAGGATCCTCCATTCCTACCAGTATCCATGAGCAGAATCAGATAACTGCTTGTAGACCCCAATCCATGCTTCTCCCAGGGAGGGAGAAAAGGCTTGGGTGCAAGCTGAGGTGGTCCTGGTGCCAGAATGAAATGTAGCTGAGGAAGTCAGAGGGCATGAAAGGGAAGCAGGAAAATCCCAAATCACTCACCATCTCCTTTATGGTTTTGTCAAGGTTTCCATCAACCCACAACACCACAGCAGAACACTGACTCTCCTCTCCTGCCCACCTCTTGCTCTGTGCTACAAATTGCTACATGGGAATTAGAAGATTGTCAAGATCGCTTCTAGATTTATTGTGCTCTGATCCTGTAGTGACTCTATTTCCCAAGAAGTCACACACAACAACTTCAAAAGAAGCTCAGAGAGTCCCAAAGGAGAGGACCCCTGACATGAATCAAGACAACACAGGATCACTGGGGACACATAGTGTCAGACTCCATGGGAAGAGAAGAGCTTTGACGGAGAAAATAAAGAGATCACACACAAATTTTAATGCCAGTAGTTGACAGTTATGGGGCCAGGAAAATATCTCAACTGATTTTATATGTTATCTCAATCCTCACACCAACCTTTCTTACCCCTGTAGGGAGTCAGTCAAAGTCTGCCAGCCATAAGTAAGGGAAGATCTGGGCACCACTATCCTCTGGGAGTGAGCTACGCGTATCTCTCTCTCCTCTTTATTTAGTCACTTCTCCCTTTGGTTGTCTCTTTGCTCCTCTTTTCAGTGAGCTTGTGGGGTGACACTTGATACATGAGGTACCAAAGGAGCCTCAGGAAAGACAGGCAGGAGTGAGATATTTAGACCAGGCCAGTTCTGGGGTATTCAGGAGACAAATTCCTTTACTTTTCAGCCACTTCTTTCTATGCTACTAGAAGTCGTGAGACCCAAAGGCACCTGAATCTTGTAGCCACTCCTCTCTCCTATGCTTACCACAGACTACCCTCTTCTTGCTGGGCCAGAATAGAGCCACCAAATCTCTTGACCAGTGCTCTAGGTGGCTAGTACTGGAAGTGGCAATCAAAATGAAACCTTTTTCCTTTTCCTGTCCTTATATACAACCTGGAGTTTTTTTTTTT